AAAAATGCCATATGGCATGTGCATCATCACAAAAATGGGATGAGCTCTAAACTTTGCAAATGTCTTCATGCCACATGGATGCACAACCTACATTAGCAAAAAATATGTGAGTAAAGCCATGGCAACTTTTCATTCATGTCACTTGTCAAAGATGCTTAATTTGCTGTTGTGTGATAAATTGTAAAAATATAATTGGGGAAATATGTTGTTAGCATCAGTCTTAAAGATGAAGAAAAGTAAAACACTTAAAAGATTTTTGTACTTTCTCTGTATAGTAAACTCTAAGTTTCATTCAAGTAAGGAGAAAAACATTTCAAAACCCCACAGATACGTTGATTGGAAATGACAAGATACTGCATGTATTTATTGAAAGGAAGAGATCCCATTGTGTCCCGAAAGCCCTCGCCAGAGCGCAGTGGGGGCCGGCAGGTCCCTGTGGGCCAGGCCTGCCAGCCAGGCTGTGGGGCAGAGCTTTGCCAGGCGAAGCCCGGCCAGGGTGGCAGCCGGGACAGCCAGAGCCCAGGGCATCGGGCAAGCCCTGGATGACGAGGCAGGACTGAGGTTGAGCCAGAAAACACGCGTCAGTAAGCTGAGGTCAGGACCAGGGCTGGTGAGAGGGTCAGGCACAGCCAGTGGTCACCACACCAGTCTGGGAAGTCAGACGGTGGTCCGGGGCCTGGGTGCGCATCAGCGGGGCCCATGGTGGAGCACAAGTAGGGGCAGGGCTGCCATGCAGATGGGGCTGTGTCTCAGGCAAGGCTGGGCATTAGATCTTCGGCTTAAAGGCAGCTCCCACAGAAGGGGGCCAGCCTTGGCTGAGGCCGCCCTGCAGAGCTGTCTGGCAGCTCCCCACGGTCACCAGAGGGAAGGAGGGGCAGCCCTCAGCTGCACTATCTCTAAGCTGGCCCTGAGCCCAGCAGCCAAATCCCCAGGAGGGGGTGCAGGCAGGGCCCACACAGTTACTTAAGATCCCAAGGTGCTGCTACCCTTCTTTCTCTGCTTCACAGAGGAGCATGGGAGCAGATGGTAGCCACTTTTAACTGTGCAAGTGTAAGTGACACCTAAGTTTCAAACTTCTACAGCTTTTTTATTTGCCTTGTTATCTACCTACCTAGCTAGCAAGACTGTGCTATGATGACAGTTAAAAATTTCTTTGTGAGCGCTTATTTCGGTCAAGGAAATGTATGTTCTCATTTTTCATGCTAATTTATTTTCCATAGTGTGGCAGCTTCATTCCTCAGGCAATGAGTAGGTTTTTTCTGTTCTACACACTTAAAGAAAATGCCTTTTCTCTGGCATTTGGGGTGAGACAGAAGAGGCATATTGTGTGCTGTCTAGTTTCTTGGCTAAGTAAGATGAGATAGTAAACACTGTTAGATTATTCTATTATCCGAAAAGGATTGTTTAAACATTTTCTTCAGTGTTAGGTACCAGTTGCCTAACTGAGCAGGATCATTTCTTCTCTTCGGGGTACTGGAGAAAAATCTTTCATGTCCAGAGATCTGTGGGATGACAGGGTTTCAGTGGGGAAGTGGCAGAGAAAGGAGAAGCAGTTTCTTTCTATTCATCGACTCAGAGATCCAGGATAAAATTTTCATTCAAGCTTTTGGCAAAATTCCCAACAGTTTTAGTGGGACATGAGTTTCACACACAGCCTGTACTTACTAGTTTATAACTCATGATGTACTCATTTAGAATGGTCTAGTTTTTTGATAGACTAATTGGAAAGAGTATTAGGAGAAAAGGGAAGGTTTGGCTTTCCTAACAAAAGGAGAACAATCATCACTTTTTCTTTTCAACTGCTGTGAGTTGGGAACAGTTTAGTTTACTTAGCAGGTGTGAGGTTTGCAGCAAGATTTGTTGAAGAAGGTCCTTCCCAAAGTGATACATATTATGTGTGTAAAGCTGACCTTTGTTGGATGAATTATTATGAAGGCAGTTTCCCAAACTTATTAAATTTACTAAACTATTAGGCTTTGTTTTTTATCATGCAAATAATGTATACTATGGCTTTCCTGTATAATAAAATTAAATTATAACTTTCATGAGTCTTATGATGATGTTAATGCAGGTCTGTACCAGAAAATGTTTCAGGACCATAATACATGAAACACCATGTTCTCATCTATCAATATAAAGATATATTAATATGGTTATCTGGAGCATATATGCGTATAGTGCAACAATAATGTAAGTGCAAGCAAATGTGAAACATATATGATGGTTGGAGAAAAATACCGTAACAATGCAAACAAATAATGAATAAGTATAAGATTTGCTTAACCACTTCATTGTGGTTAGGATCTGATATTGCCATTGTTTTATTTTTTAATACCTTTTGTAGATAAATAAAATGTCTTTGCTGTGCAAATACTACTTTTCTTGAGAAATCCAACACGAAGTGCGAGTACAAAAATAAAAATAAGGTAAATTTAAATATGTAAATTTAAATAGGAAAATATTAAAAGAAATCACTATATCTTTTGAGCAATTACTGAAAAAAATAAAGCAAAGAATACATGCTTGTCAAATATGCAGTATAAATAAATAATTTAGGTGAAAATGGATGACTAGATATAACAAAGAGACGACCAAATAATGAAGGGCTAAAGGGTGGTTGTTACATCTGATGTACTTCATTGTATATTGTAAGTAATTGCTATCCATAAAAAATTCCATGGCTTCTGTATAAGAAAAAGAGACAATTTGACAGGCAACGCTAGTAGGAAACGACAGCAAGTACAAATCCTTGGCAACTGTCATTATCCTGCTGTTGAATTCACATCCAAAACTGTGTGATAACTTTGACCTGTATAGCTGTTACTGAACCAATGTCTGTTAAAGTTAACTATATTTTTAACTTACGGAAAAAAAAAACCCCAGCCATATGCAGACTTATCTCCTAGAAAACTCTATGGACTATTTACTTTTCTTTAGTATACTGTTGTTTTCTATTTAAAGAAGAAATATGGAGAAATGTGCTTTAGTTAGACAGTAATAATGAATAATTAGAAAATTGCACTAGAGCAATAGAATAAAAATTTTGATATGATGTAGCTAAACAATTTCAGCGTGTGGAACTAACAAAGTACAAGTTCCTTTTGTAATAATTACAAAAAGACTTCAGTGCTTTGTTCGTGAATAAATGGCAGTTTAATTGTTCTTAAATGGGAAAAAAGTTGATAGAGCTCTTTAGGTTTTTAGTTTTTTCCGTTCTTTTCTTGTTTATATTTCTGGTATCAAAATCTTTTCTCTCTGTATCTCTATCTGTGCATCTTTACTTGTGCTAGAAAAATAGGACATCTTGGTGTTAGCAGCTAGCAAATTTACCAGTGACTAAAAGGAACTTTTACTTTAATATGGAGTATCAAGCTGTTTTTCCTGACTAGTGAATGACAGTTCAAATTCATTTTTTTATGAGGTCTCCACATATTAAGACTTTAGTTGTATAGTGTTTAATCTTCAGAAGGAATTGGCAGCATGTGTACATCTAAATTTGAATTTTCTCAAGGCATAAAACAGGTCAGCAGTGCAAGAGTAAGATTACTCTTGGAATTGCATGCTTGTATTTTCTGTTTGAAACCACCTCCGTTAAGGAATTGGAGTGTGTGCATAAGTACCTTAAGGTTTACATACACTGTATGTATAAATGGTTGTTATGATGGTGGGAAATTTTAAGAAAAAGCTGGACAAGTACTGAGGAACAATAATAGTAGTAGTCCTGTAGGTATTTTCCTTGTATGGTGTAATTTAGTGACAGGAGGTTTTGTAGATATTATATATGATTGAAAAGTAGTAGCCCTTTGCTACACCAGTCCACTTACATAATGGTTTACTTGTCATGTAAACAAGATAATTCCTTGTTAATGCTAACAGCGCTTTTAATATTCCTCCAAAATAGTTCATGAGTAGTAGGAATTGCTAAAGAATGAAGTTATCTACAGAATAAATAATGGTAATTAATAGATTTTTATTGCAGAAAGTAACTTGTTTCTGGTTTTGTAGTTATTTTCTGCTTTTCATATGGATAACAAAATAGTCTTTTGAGAAAAAGCACATACAAAAAATAATGTCCTCTTGATGTCACTAGTCAGAATTCAAAACAAAAAGTATGTGTTCAGACTCATAATACTAAGAAGAGTTTTCATTGATTGAACTCCAATATTTAGTATTCCTGTGATAGTACATTAGTTTAAGGATTTCCTAGGTAAACATACTGCAATCCCTGTGGGCAAATTTTGAAGTTCACATTTGTTGTGACATCATTTTTGTAATTTCGAATTGGAATATTCTGACACTTAAGAATTATTTGAATATGAAGGAAGAATGAGGTCTTGATCTCATCCAATTCCTTTCTTGCTTCTTCTTGATCTTTGATACTGCTGTTGGCACAGTTATACTAGTGCTGATTTGGATCTTCCAAAGACTGGATAAAATTAGATTGTGTGATTTTTATACGGGTGAATATTCCATCTAGACTTTTGGCCTATGTTATAAAGTAATTTTGTGCAATTAATAGTAGCCTCAAATTGAAAGTTGGAGGCTTTTGGTCTCGTTACTTCTAATGTTTTTATGCAAATAAAACTTCTTTGGCTTTATGATATAAATATGAGATTTAATGTTCATTTTGTATGAAGGAAGGCTAGCACAGACTCAGTGCTAGTGCAGTATAGTATAGCTGAAATACTTGCTGTATTTCACCATAATGCTGTTGTAGAGCATTTTAAACAATTCCCATACTGACCTCAGCTTGTGCAAAGATTAATTGAGCTGAATTCTGAAATAATTTCATAGTTTGCAGAAATAAGAATCAGGATGAAACCATTAACAGTTTCATAAGGTGTTTTCCAACTTTTATTGAGTTGCTGTAGGCTTTTCTGAACTCCATACAGTCAATCATTACTAACTTAAGGTAGTTGAAAGAGCAGAGCGAAAAGATAAAATTTTAACTATAATTATCATATTTCTGTTTCAAAAAACTTCTCTCTCCCTATGCAAAAATGGCTGTGAAAAATATAGAAGGGAAGCAAAGGTCTAGACAACTTCTCTTTGCCCATAACATTCACATGGTATCAAGAAGGTCAAGACTTCAAGATTGTTCTACACATCAAACAAAATCAGTTCAGAGCTCTGATGGAGTATCAGACATATAGACAGCTACAAATCAAGCAGTACAGACAATTTCTGCCTTATATCACCATCCAATAAAAACAGAGCTGAAAGTGTTCCCACAGGTCAACTAAGGTAATCAAAGCTCCTCTCTTTTGGATTTAATCATGACTGCTGCAGTTCAGTCACCTTGTAATGATGATACCATTGATATTCTGAAACAGACCTTGATAATTTTTATTAAGATTTCTTGACCTAACAATTTCTCAGAGTATATCCTTTTTAAAGCCATATTGATTTCATCAAACATTTCCAAATGACAAATAAAATGACAGTAAACCAGTCATCCCAGTTTGCTTTATAAATTTTTAATAGTTTAGCAATAGATAGGCAATATCCATCAAGTTGACCCTCTGTAAAGAATAATGTAATTCTTTATAATTAATCCAAAATTAATTGATTCTGTCTGGAAAATCCAAGAGAACAATTGGATTTTGCAATGTACCATAAAGGTGATTAAAGTAAAGACGTGGTAAACAAAGGGGTATTTTAGTGTGTTTAATTTAGATCTCTTCATCAAAAGCTTTCTCCTTGTTAGTGCCTTCTGTTTTAAGTAGGTAAATTTTTGTAAACTGAGACAAACCTAGATGAACATAGTTATCATAGTATCCCCTCATTTGTGTGCAGATGTGACCTCAAATAGGATACAAATGGCTCTTTTTTTGTAAATGTTTTCTAAAATTGCCTTATCCAAAACCATTGAAGTATTTGTAATTGCTAATTTTGTATGATAAGACACATATTTCAATGTACTTGTTTCCTGGTATATGAAAGTCTTAAACTCTAAAACCAAAAAGAAAATATATGGTTACTTTTTAAGGGGACCACATTCTGGCTTGCTTTCTTATATGGTTTAGTACTCAATGATAAAGTAGCTACACTGATTTAATAGCATGACTTGCTTTAGAAATGCTAAGAAGACAAAAAGGCTTGGATTGTTGGATTCTTACATGGTCATTTTGTCATTCAAGAAATGTGGAAACTGTAAAATATGTGAGATTGCCAACATGCCATTATGGTTTAAGTGAAGTATCAGTTCAGTGCTAATTGAAAAATATCCAAGGTTTTTCATGGGAGAGAAATTAAAATCTTAGGCCTCAAACCAGTTTTGAGTTCTGCATGGAAACCTCTTGCTGCAGACTAGGACGGAGACCATATGTCACAAATGTTCTTGCTGAAGTATGACATTTTCTATAAATTTCCCTCCATTTTTTTTTTTTATGTTTTTCCCTCTCTTTTTAAAAATAGACTTACTGTGGTATTATTCAGAAGTTGTTTGTTGTATGAGCATTTTATAATTGTCTTTTTTTTTTTTTTAATTGAGTATTAGTTTATTTAATTTTATTCTGGCAGCTGCATTGAATATAGTTTGCTATCTGGGAAACAGAAACAATTAACAATAAGCCCCACTCTGCAGTCACTGTACAGGCATAATTGCTGTCAATTTGATTGAAATATTGCCTGAGAAAAGAGTGTCATCAGTTCTTACTTTTTAAACTAGAAGCAATAACCTACCTAGTATGCGCTGAAAGCACTCTTTAATTACAAGCTTTCTCAGAATCAACAACTCTTTTTTCTATACTTATTAGTGCAGTTAGATTTTGAAAAATACTTTTAAAATTAGGTGATTTATTTTCTTGTGAATTTCTTAAAATATTTTATAAAAATGTCTTTGTAGTGGAATTAAGCAACTCTTTCCAAGTATTCCAGAATTTCTGAATAAGCTCAGTTTGGGGTAGATTAAATCTATGTTGCTTATAACACTCCAATTTATCTGTATTTTCTATATTTATAATTTAGGTGCTGTGAACTAAGTTCTTGCACTGTGAAGAATTTTAATGACCATACATTCTGATTGTCTTGTTACACAATTATTATAAAAGTTCTAAAAACAGTTAAAAGAAAAAAAATGGCAAATATCTTGGATTGTTTCTTTAATATCATAAACTGTATTTTTTTCAACAGAATTAACTGTGCACTCTGTTTCAAAACTCTGGCATGTGCAGAGGGCATTTGAAGTATCCAAAGTTATTAAACAGCAGCCAAATGTAATCAAAATCATAGCTTACAAAAATGATACAAAAAAGATCTTTTTTAAACTCTCTGTGTCCTTAATTAAGCCAATAACCTCTGATAGAAGTTTTCCTACATGCATAAAGGTTATTTGTAGCTTATGCTTTAAACCCTAAAATAATTTTTTTTTCCTTTAAAACAAGCTTATATGAAACTTTTCTTCATTTGTACACTATTCCTAAGATGTGTGACTTGTTAAAAATTCTTATAAACAATAAGTGAAACAGTTACAGCATAATGTGCAATATTAGTTGACATTAAAAGGCAAGAGCACAATACTTTTAAACCAATCTTTTTAAGGTTTTATATTTTTCCCATCCTATGATTTCTAGTAATAATCACTAAAATACTAAATGACCTGTAGTGCAGTGGCTATGATTGGTAAATTAGTTGAGACTGGATCTTTTATTTCCAATTTTATTTTTCTGACTAAATATTGATCATAAAATAAATATGTGTGTAATTAGTATTCCTTACCTCTTGCATTCATTTAGCTGCTGGAGGAGTGCTCTGAAAAGCTGAATCTGAACATGGCTGCACGATGAGTGTTCTTGGCAGACAGCACTGAAGCACTAGAACCTAAAGACATACCCCATGATGCCGACGTTTATATTTCAACTGGAGAGACCTTTTTATATCCATTCAAAAAAATGAAAGGTAAAAAAAACAAAACAAAACTGAGAACCCCCAGCAAATGGCTTAAGGGGTACAATTAAAAATTATTTTCATCCTGTCTTTTTGCATGGTTTAACAAAACTAATGTTTACTCATTTACAGCTCAGTAAGAGGATAATGTGCTTAATGAAAGAAAAATCTACTGACAGCCACGTTTATTGCCCTTCATTAGCATTGGTACTTAATTTAATATAGATCTGAATAGACATTAGGGAGCCTGCAGGAGGTTAAATGGTGAAAATGTAAAGAGATTATTGAATTTACTGTTTAGTTTCAGTGACATCAGACAGACATAATTAATTAGTCTTATTCCACTAGCAAAAATGATCCAGAATGCAAGACTGGATTCATTAATGTAATTGTTTAAAAATTTTTGAAAGTTTAATACAGCAATATGGAATATCTACTTTGCTACATTTTATTAATTTCAGATTGTGTGGTAAGACCATTATTAAAAATTTTCTTCTTTCCTTCTCATTCCTTTAACAATCTGGTAATTACGTTTTATTTTTTACAAGGGGGGAAAACTATTTCTGAATCCTTTAGAGTTTAAATGTGAATGTGAATGTTTCTCTCTGTCATATTTTAAGATCATGTGGTACATTGTGCGATTTCTGCAGCAAATTTGTGGTAACATAACATTAGATTAAATGAGGTTCAGTATCAAATTCCAGATACTGATTGGGTATTTAATTAAATTATTAATTCAACCGACATTTGTGATAAAGAACCTTTAATTTATATAAACTAATTTATTATAAAAGGCAAAATTATTATTAGGATAGTGTAGGATAGTGATATGTGTAGGTAGGAATATAAAATTCCAGTGTACAATTCCAGTGAGAAATGCAAATAAGATAAATTGTTATGTAAAATATTGCAGTTTGTATGATCTTTTAATAGTAAAATGTGATCTGTTTTTTAAAAAGTTAGAATAGCGAAGAAAAACAAGACAAATCATTCAACTAGTGTGTGTATTTTATATATATGTTGTGTACATTTTTTATATATATTTCTTTGCACTATTGGGTGGTTTGTTCTTTTTTCTTATGTTCTTTCTTTAGAAACAAACCTTTGGTTTTGTTTTCTACATGGTTTTTAAATAGCATTTGTTATCTTGGAAAGTGTTAGGAGACATATGTTAATGTTAAATCTTTCATTCTGAATTTCAAAATATCCAAATGTACTTTTGCTAATTCTTTTACAGTTTGATATAACTTAATATAAATACATTTCAAGAAGATATCTATATAGTACTAATTACTAGCTATTTGTCTAAGAAAATTACTACTATATAGCTCTATACACATAAAAATCTCATATTAATTAGTAGATCCTTTATGATGTAAATCCTGTAATTAAACGTATGCTTACATAATCATGGAGGTATTCATGAGTGAAACTTTTGTTAGTAAGCCTGTGTCTTATATAATCAATTTTATATATGATAAAATGTTGTTGATAAAGTAAAAATTATTCTGAGTATGATACAGGTGATCCCTTCTCTACAATGGCTATAATGAATGGCCTATATATTCAGTAACAGGCACAGATCTTTATTTTTATTCTTGCAAAAGTGTATGATAAAACTGCTATTTGTACTGTATCAATCATTGAAATGATCCTCCTATTGCCATATTTTGATACAGGCACTGCTATAATTTGTTGCAAGCTCTTTACTGGTACTCATACTATACTTTCTCCATGCATATGACTTAAGTGTTATGATAGATTTTCAAATTCATTTAGAGAGTTTCTTTCTTTCTCTCATTTTCCTCTTGCAAGCCAAGTTCCAAACAAAAACTTCTGTGCTTTGTCTGCATATCTTTGGCTGTGTTTCATTGTGACATGCACTGCTGTTCTTTTAGCACCAAAATGTTGGCACACATTACTGAAAATTTCACACCATCTCTTGCTGGATCAGCAAGCTTAACCTACCAAAATCTGGTGTTGTTGAATGGTTTTTGACTGATAATCAATCTTTTTGCTGCTCGACAGTTGTTGCTGGGACACAGACTAGAGCAGGTGGCAGATGTGCCTTGTCTTTTGAGAAAAGAAAGAGTAGGTGAGCTTGGGCACAGAGTAACATATTGTGTGTCCATTAAAAGGGTAAGTATAACAGGAAAAAGTCACTGCTATAAGTAGAAAAGCTACCAATACCAGAAAATAGGCTTTTTTACACCCCTGTTTACAAGTTTAATAGAACTGGAAAATGACAGCTAATAGTGTAAAGTACCATGGGCTCAAAGATCAGAACTGATGTTAAAAACATTCATAAAATCTCTGTATAACATTCCATAATACTTTATTTTGCTTATATTTTTTAATTTATATGTAGTATGAATGACAATGTATATATTTTAAAAATGCTGCAATATATTGAAGATAGGTTTTAGAGATATATGTATTTTATATTTTCTTTCTCTAGCCCAAAACTGGGAAGAGAGCACAGAGTGGTATGACTTGTCAGCATAAACATACTGATCGCTGCCTTTGAGTCCTTAATGCATAGATAACAAGATCAAATGTCAGTAGTAATTCTTTTCTGCATGGAAATGGAAGATCAGTTACATACTGAAAAGCCCCAACCCTGCAAATATGTACAAGTGATCTCATGGAAATCGGAGAGACTTTTTACATGTGTAGTTACACACAAATATTTACAGGATCAGCACCTTTGTGGAAATCTGTATTTTGAGTACTGTATAAATCACAAAGTCTGTCAAAGTTGTACCATCTTGTGTATAGTTTCATTGCTTCAAGTGGTATAAATACCTGGATAAAATATAATTCACAGTGATGTTAATGTCTTGCTTTATTTGGATTTATTCACCATCTCATCTTTCTGACATATTAAAATTTAAATTGATATTTCAGTTAAGTGAATAAGGATTCAAACATGTTGACAAATTTAATGATTTAATATAAAAATTGAAAGCCATTTTTAAATTTATTTCAATATTTAGAATAAATACATGTGGCATATCAGTTATAAGGTGCTATTCCAACAGAAGTTTAGCAAACAGAAGTATCAAGTCTCCAGCATGTATAACACTTTTGGGGGATTATTGTGGAATTAGTACATTGGAGACCTGTGCCAAAGAATTAATGCTCTGTAGTATGTTGTTCTTCCATGTAATTTGCTGATGGTCAGTGGTCATATTTAATTAACTGCTCATAGGAAATATAAGGGAGACCAGGTACTTCAGTGTTTGTTTGCAGAAACATATATTTAGCAGTTACTGAATTTCAAAATATAATGGATATTCTTATTTGTTCTTTTTAATACCTCATGTTTCTCCTGTCACCTTTCATTGTACCCCCAGACCTCTTTGCAATTGAGTGTCAGGTGTCTGCAGTGTACTGCTTCATTTTTTCTTCATTACTACTGATTTCTTAGACTGATAGTAATTTCTTCCTACTGATTTTAATTCCAGTGACATTAGAAACCTTGCCAATAAATTAACTAATCAGTTAGCACTCCTTTATAAAAAGTTTGTGCATTTTATCAGTCATGCTATTGTGGAAAACATGGCTTCTTCTAAACTCCATCTTCAATTCAGTAATTTTTCAGTTTCTGTGTTTATCATTTACCTTGATCTTGCTTCAGAGTTACTAAGTTGGAGACAAAGGAGTTTTGGCTGATTAATCAATTGTGGATTTAAACTGCAATCCAAATCCAATTATGTTCAGGTCTAATTCACTGTACTACTGAGAGTAACATCAGTGATTTCTGCAGGAGCCTTCAGAGTAGTGAAGCTAAGCATTTATACAGATATATAACTATACTTACTAGAGTTCCACTGACTATAATGGGAACTAAGATGTCTAGCTCACATACAGATAATTTACAAGTAGACACATAATTTAGCTGTGTTGATTCTAAACCAAATCACTTCCTAAAGACAACATTTTGGCCAAAATATTGATATGCCATGTTGATATATTTTTTTGTAATTCATGCCAAGAAGGATTCCTTGCATGGAGCATGGTCTACTTCGCTGATCACATAGGTGCATTATCTGATTAATGCATCTTATTATCTGGGTACAGAGCGTTGTTTATGACTTACCTTCAGCTCTCATTCTATGGATGACTATAGTAAAAGAACACTAGATATGGAAACAATTAGTACAATAAGTACATAAATGTTCACTTTTTTACTACCTAGTCAACACATCTGTACTCTTTCACTTAGAGTTATATTTGTAGGATGTGTATATGTATATGTTTCCAGTACTGTGTGTAAAACTAAAAATAATGAATAAGATTTTGTCTTTTATTAATGCATGGTGACAAGGAGGTCACTAGAAAAAGTAATCCATGTTTAGTGTTCTTAATGCTTCATTTCAGGTCTGTATTTAAGTGAAGAGATAAAGATTTTTTTGTTTAATAACATTTAGATATCATGTGATCTACAAAATGAAATAATTTACCAAGACAGGTTCCAATTGTCAAGAATGTGTGTGAATCTTTTAAAATAGGACATATTTTCTACAAGGAGTGTCAGTGAAATGATGGATTCTTACCATTCTAAAAATTGACTGATTTGGAAATGTTTCAGTTCCAAGGAGTATTCTAAATAACATAGGGCTTTTTTTCATCAACACATAAAAAATAACACAAAATACAAATTTTCCTGTAATTAGTGTATTATATGTTATTTCAGTGCATTTATACTGGAATTTTGATCTGAAAAAGGAATATGCTATAAGAAATATTCACAAAATATGCAGAAATACATACCTCATCATATATTATGAGCTTGTCCATCTTATAATATAGGTTGAAGATCTCAAGATATACAACACAGATTTATTGTAAGCTAAAGAAATTTCCTCTTGAACCATCATGCATCAACATAGAATTGAATACTTATAAAATATCTTGGTCGTATCCTGAAAGATAGAATGACAAAAACCTGGTCTTTGAGTGGGATGCCAGTGAAACCTAGATTATATTTTTTCTTACAGGTTTCTGAC